GTTTGTGAAGTACTGCCTTAGTAGTTTCTCTGAGTGAAAAATTATTTCCAGCTGTGAGATCAAGGAGGCCATCCTGGAGGAGATGATTTCTGAATGAGGCCCTAATGTAGAGGCAGTGTTTAGGTGTAAGCAAGTATATTCTCCAGAGGGAGCAGCATCAGGAGATTCATGGAGATGGGAAGGATGAGGACATGTACAAGTAGTCCAGGACCTTTTGGCTGGAATTAGACAAGAACAATTGTAGTTAAGCTGTCTGGAGTGGGAATAAGAGAGGCAGGCAGGTCATGGAGGCACACATGTTTTGGGTTAATCTGAGGCCTTTGTATTTTGGTGCAAAGATATGAGAGATCAAGCTGCAAAATCAAAATTTCCCTTGGGAGAGGGAAGAGGGCACTGATATTCATTCATGCTCAGGTGTAGATTATTTATGGCCAAGCCTTACCTGAAAGAAGTAAAAGAAGGGCTAGGAAGAGAGGAGAAAGGGCTGAGAGACAATCCTGGGAGGCACACATATTTTTTTCCACCCTGGAGAGCTGGTGAAAGTCTCAATACTGTTCCCACATTGGGAACTCCATGAATATTGGCTGATTGTGGTTTAAAGCCAGGGGAAAGCTGGTGTGGTCTAGTGATGAACTCCTCATCACTCCCCACTCCCTTCAGGCTCCATCCTTGCAGTTTCCTCTATTTCACGTGTATGTGTGTGTGTGTGTGTGTGTGTGTTAGTCAATCAGTCTTGGTGGTGCCTTGCAGACTCTTGGCAATTCTATGGACTGTAGCTGCCAGGCTCCTCTGTTCATGGAGTTCTCCAGGCAAGAATACTGGAGTGGGTTGCCATGCCCTCCTCCAGGGGATCTTCCCAACCCAGGGATACAAACTGGGTTTCTCGCATTGCAGGCAGATTTTTTTACCATCTGAGTCATCAAGGAAGCCCAAGTCATTTCTTGAGCTCCAACAAAACCTTCCTGAAGGGTTGTTAGGAATATTAAAGGGGATAATATAATAAAATACCAGGAACATATTAGGACCTGAAAAAGTGCATGTGATCTTTTGAACTTGGAGTCAGAGCTCATGGTCCTCTCATTTTTCTACCATGAACCTGGTTCAAGTTCTAACACAGAGTAGGTTTTCAATGAATGCTCAGTGGGAAAAAATACCAGCTAATGGGAAACTCATGATCACTTAGCCTTAAGGGCTCTGTCAAGGGTTGTGATACCATACACACTTTAATAATGCACCCCAATAGCAATTGAATGAGCACTTACTCTGTTAATCACTGGGCTAAGCATTTTACATTTGTTATTTCATCAAATAACATCTGACTCCATTGTACAGATGAGAAAGGGAGACCTAGAGATGCTGAGCATCTTGTTCAAAGTCTCATTGTTATTAAGAGGTAGAGCTAGAGATAGAACAACTGAGCATAATTCTGAGATCAAAGCACCTCTCAACTGTGAAGTGTCTGATGGGTGTCATAGGCAGAACAGGTTTCACCAGGAAATGTTTGGCTTCTCCCCTCCCCAACCTCACCTTATGCAAATGCTAAGGAGAGTCAGCATCACCCTACTGCTGATGGGACTGTAGGCTCACAGAGTTAGAGACAGAAAAGATTAGGTAATGAAGGGTTGTTGAAGTTCAGTTCTGCAGTATTATAGATGCTAACATGCAAGCCCAGAGAGGTTTCTTGACTCACTCAAGGTAAGACAGCACGAGAGTGGAAGGCTCCAGGTAAGGTTTCTTGGCTCTTAGGATACGGTTCTTACATTAAACAAAAACAGACGTTAGAAAAAGCAGGTGTTGCTGTATTGCTGAAGGTATTGCTCAACCTTCACTTTTTCAAACCTTCTCCCTGCACCAACTTTCTCCTTCTCTCTCTTTTTAAAATTCATTATTTATTGGCTCAGCAAATATTTATTGAGGCATGTAGTTAGTTAGTAGTAAGAAGTAGTTAGAAGTAAGTTAGATTCAGAGAAGAGACAGGAATTTAGGGATAAATAAGAGTTGGGGAGCAAGAAAGAAAAAGAAAGGAACATTTAAAAAAAAGGAATAGCAAAAGTAGAAAGAAGGCAAGAGGGGAGAGGAAAGGGAGAGAGAGGAAGGAAGTAAAGAGAAAACATTAATTGAGTACACTCTTCTAAGCATGTTACATGTATTTATTTAAACTAAACAGAAACTCTATGAGGGGGTCACTTTCATTATCCCCATTTTACAACTGAGGCACTTTATGGCACAGAGACCTTAAATGAATTGCTCAAAGACAGATAGCCTGAAGGTGGCAAGGCCAACATATAAACCAAGCAGGTCTGGCTCCAGAGACCTTGCTGGGGCCCACGAAGTATTTTTGTTGACGTGTCTACCAATTGCCCAAGGCCAAAGGTAGGCACGACAGTGTTCCTGAGAGTCATATCGTCTTTCTCCATAGTTATTTTCTGGAGAAACATCCTCACATGGTTTGTCATGAACCATCAGCCCCAGGGCACGAAGAGAGGCCTGCACTGCTCATGGGTCAGTGGACAGAGCAGCTGGGAAGGGCTATGTGATTTAGAGCCAGGAGAGCAGGACTGAGCTGAGTGCCTGCCGCTCTCTAGCTGTGACATATAACGAATCAGTTCACCTTTGCAGCTACATGGTTCCCCTTCTGGAGGATGGGAATAATAGTCATGTCTACCTTAGGTAGTTTATAAAATCAAAACCCAAAACAAGTCAAACATGGCCATCAACCCTCCTCTGCTTATTTTGTGTAGATGTCTGTTTAAAACAAAAGAAATTGTGTGGGAGGCTGGTTGTTAGGAAGAGGATGACGGCACCCAAAGAGGAAGAAAGGCTTAGGAGATGAGCTCTCTGTGGATAACACTAAGGAAATGGAATATTTGGGAAGACTGGAAAGGACCCAGGTGATATTTAATTGTCTCTGGAATAAACGAATGGTTATAGTCATTCATTCATTCAATAAATGTTTATTAAATGTATCCCATGTGCCAGTCCCAGTGCTAGACACTGGGGTACAGTGGTTTAAAGAATGAATACCATCCTGATTTTCATAGAGCTTGCTGTCTGCAGAGTCAGACACTGAACAAATACACACAGAATTTAAATGCATTATTGTAAACGGTGACATGTGCTATGAGGCAAAGGAAAAGAAAAATTTTCTGTAAGAGAGAAAAACAGCATTGGGCTGGTGGGGGCACACTAGAGAACTAGATAACCTACCTTCCCCGTTTTCCCTCACCACACTGCCCCCTCCACCCTACCTCCCACCAACCACTAATTGCTATTCAAAAGATCACAGGCCTCTTCTCCCTACAGGTTTGTATTATCTTGGCTCAGTGAGTATCTTAGTCTATTCAGGCTGCTTTAACAAAATACCATAAATTGAGGTGGCTTATAAACAATGAATATTTAGTTCTCACATTTCTGGAGGGTAGGAAGTCCAAGAGCCTAGTGTTGGCAGACTCAGGAGCCAACTCCTTATTGATGGTTGTCTTCTCACTGTAACCTCCCATGGGGAAGGGGGCGAGGGAGCTTTCTCAGGCCCCTTTTATAAGGGCATTAATCCCATTCATGAGGCTCTGTCCTTATGACCTCAGCTCCCAAATGTCCCACCTCTTAATACCATCCCTCTGTGGGTTAGGATTTCAACATGTGAATTTGGGGGACACACACATTCAGACCATAGCAATGAGCAGTCTTTTGATGCCAACAAAAATATGTGCACTCGTCCCCAGGTGGCAGACTGCTTTCATCAGCAGCCTTCTTTGATGGGCTTCCTGCATATCATTATCATTCCTACTTCTACAGATTAAAAAAAAAAAAATCACAAAAGTGCAATGACTTGTCTAAGAAGACACAGCCAGTAAGAGCACACTGGGGGTAAGGAAGCATGTTCTAGGGGAGGGTGACGGGTGACTTGAGAGATCCTAACGGTATGGAGAAGGCAGAGGGCAGGCCTGATTCAGAACTGCTCAGACTTCCAGGCAGGTGAAATTCCTGCCCTTTGGAAGCTAGAAACGGCCAACAACTAGTCTCTGGAAGACCTACTGACTGCTTCAGCTGGGTGACCTGAAACAGCCCTTCAAACCAGGAGGCAGGATTTTCAGATCTTTAAACGGAGCTGTGGACAGATGTTGAGCTACTGGCTTTTCCTAGTACTCCTCCTGTTTTTTTTAGGGGGTGGGGTGGGGGCTCAGCCACCCCCATAACAGTGCAAGCCAGAGAACCAGAGATTCAGGTGGCCTGGCTAAGTTACTCCCACACAACTGCGAAACGACACTCAAACAAAAAGAACAGAGCGTGAAGGGAGGCTCCAGGCAGAGGGACCTGAGCGCAGTTCCTGGGCCAGCCCCAGTCCTGAGCCGGCCTGGGGGTCAACCCCTCCCCAGGGCGGCTTCAGAGGCCTGCGGCGCCCGGCCATGCAGTTCCCAGATGCGGACAGTAGGTGGCAGTAGGTCGTGAGAAATCTCGGTCCTCGCCGGGCCGGGGCTCTGGAGACCCAGCCGGGAGAAAATCGTGGCTGGGCTTCGGCCGCGCAGGCTAGAAACGCCCCCGGGGTGGGGCGAGCGGGCAGTCCCGGGACCCGCGCGGCTCTAGCCTCGGCCGAGGTCAGGGAGGACCTGGGAGGCAGCGCCTGGAGCCGGACATGGCGGGCTCCCTGGGGCCCTCGGTGCCCAGGCGACTGTGCTGTCATGGGGGGCCCTTCGGGACCCTGCACCCTGGTGAAGGCCCTGCCCACTGCCTCCCCAGCCAGAATGTGTGCCCGGCGTGGGAATTTATTTCCTCCGCAAATAACTTTTTTTTTTTTTTCCAAGTGAAGAAACTGCTGTTCAGAGAGGTTAAGGGATTGCTGCTGTAGCCACAGAGGAGGCGTGGGCTGGAGGATTAAAACCCAGCCCCGTCTGATGAGTCGGTGCTTTCTTCTACTGTACCAATACCCAGCGCAGGGTCCCCTTGCCAGAACGCCTGGGCATGACGCGGGGTGGTCTCTGGTCGCGTTTAAAACCCAAGGCTCAGCCGCGGTGTGGCCCGGGCCGGTTCTGACTCCACTCTGAGGTCGTGCCCAGCGAGGGGAATAGCTGCGGTGGCCTCTGGGTGGCCTTCCGAGCGAGCGCCCGAATTCGCTCCTCGTCCCCTGACTGCACAGCCTCCGCCCGGCCGTCTCCCGAGCGAGGACCCTGGCAGAGCTGGCCGCTCCTCTGTCCGCCTCCTCTCATAAGTAATCCCGGGTCTCAGCCCCTCTCACAACCTCTGACATTTTGAAGCACTTTTGCTTTTGAGAATTCGTTAGATCTTTACAACCACCAGGCGAGGCTGGCGGAGCAGGGCTGTTTATATTTATAAAAGAGAAAACAGAGGCTTCGGAGGAGGGATTTGCCAGCCTGTGCGTGGCTGAGCGGGTCTCGAACCCCCAGTCTTCCCAGCGGCCTCCCTGGACCGGGCGGGAGCAGGGGTGCTGGTGAGAGAGTTCTCCCGGAGGCGAGGCCGCTCCCGCCTGTTCTTCCTCTGCCAACGGTGGGCGGGCGGGGAGCAGCGGACAAATTAATTCACGCTATCTTTACATTATGTATAATGCCGCATGATTTTATTTTGCTTCATTCCCGAAATCTTTTACAGTAATTAGTATCCGAGTAAAATATAAAAATTAATGCAATATAACACTTTAATGGTAATAATACACCATCCTGTCTAATTAATAAAATCTGTTGTTTCCAAGCACGATTATTTATTTGACAAATTGATAGCACACATCCTGTTCATACCCTCTTTCCCGGCTCCCATCCTTTCAGTTTATTGAATAAAATTGTAGCAGGAAAATAAACAGATTGTCTTCTGACCTGACAAGCAAGTGAGAAATAAACCCCTCACTCATACATCTCTAATTGTTCTCAACAATATTCTCTAACACATGTCCAAGTTGGTTAGAAATGAATCTCAATTTCTCCTTCTGTTTTTTTTTTTTTCCTTAACAATTGTATTTCATTATAGGGGAAAGAGATCTACCTCCCCCTCTTCTTTGGGTAGTGTTTGTACTGGGCCAGTTGGGGAAATGAGTTTTGTCACTGTGTTCAGAGATTCTGACGGTTTGCTGACAGAGCGATTGCTCTGGCTCTGCGGAGAGAGGAGGTCTGGGCTGCTCTGAGCTACTGCTGCGGAGGAACGCTGAGCCCACCTCGCAGGCAGCATGAGAGGATCAGAAAGGAAGCAAGCAGAGAGGGAGTTTCCTGGTGGTCTGCTGGTTACCATTCCGGGTTTTCACCGCCATGGTCTGGGTTCAGTCCCTGGCCGGGAAACTGAGATCCCACAAGCAGAGTGGCTGGGCAAAAAAAGAGAGTGAGAAAGAAAGGAAAAAAAGGAGTAAGGAGTAAGCTGAGAGGACTGTCAAGAGGAGTTGGGGAAACAAAGCCACGAGACGGCTTTGTATACTCAGGCCTGACAATATTTGCGGGTAGGGGCTGAAAAACAGCGTCCCGTGTTACTGTGTGTGTGAAACTTGGGATGAAACACTGATCTAATTACAGACCCGAACGTGTGTTATTTTATGTAGCACAGGGACGTTTTATATGCTGTGAAAATATGAAAGCATTTTAAGCTATAAATAGGGATGCCAAAGCAGAGAGAGAGACAGACAGATGGAGAGAAAGACACAGAGAAAGAGCAAGACAGAGAAAGAAAAAAAAAGGCAGACTCACCATCTGAGGGTTATTTTGCAGCATTTTTCTCTGAAAGAAACATTGTGATGTGATCTGTGTTTGGGGGAAAGCTATGTTGTACCCAGCTTTCAAGCTGCATTTGCTGTAATAAAAAAGGAAAAATCTCCAAGTGTGCAAAGGGGAAGAAAGTCACCCTCTCATGGAAGCTGGCCTTAGTACACAGCAGAAATGTACATACCTGAACACACACATACACATGTGTGTGTGCGCTCTCTCTCACACACACACACATACACACACACACTTACCCAATCCCTGATGGGTCTCCAATGTCCTTTCTGTTGAAAAACTCTATGATCTGATGTGTACTAGGCACCCATGGACAAAGAAGTTTGGTGGGCTACAGTCCATGGGGTTGAGAAGAGTTGGACACGACTGAGCAACTAAACACAGAACACAGGCCCAACACACACACACACACACACACACACACACAGAGTGACGCAGGACAGAGGCGCACAGCCTGCTGAGCCAAGGCCACTGCACCAATGCACTCTCGCTCCATGGCTAAGATTTCCTAGGCCACCCTGCCTCCCTCTGAAGTCTCAATGTGTGTTAGTTGCTCAGTTATGTCCAACTCTTTGTGACCCTATGGACTATCACTTGCCAAGCTCCTTTGTCCATGGCATTCTCCAGGCAAGAATAGTGAAGTAGGTTGCCATTACCTTCTCCAGGAAATTTTCCCTACCCAGGGGTCGAACCTGGGTTTGCTTCATTGCAGGCAGATTCTTTTACTGTCTGAGCTACCAGGGAAATCCCTGAGGTCTTAATACTCTGATCTTATTAAACCTTCTCCAACCTTTTCTTCTTGATCTACTCTGCCACCCCGCCCCCACCATTGTCAGCTAATGCATCATCTTATAATAATTTTTAAAAGAATTTAAATAAGATTTGATTGAAAGCATTTCCTTTTATCTCTGGAAACCCATAGATGGTTATTTCAAGCTTTTTGCCAACACCCAGGTATACAGAGGGTGATTGATAAGTGCAATTTGAGTACTTCACCTTGTATAAAGTGCTTCCCTATGAATCGTTTCAGGGAAGGGATTACTACACCCATTTTACAGATAAGGAAATAGGTAGCCTCTTTCCAGGAGGAAACAGTTGGAGTATTTATTGAACATTAATTACTGAACACTTCTCATAAGTCAGATACTACCTACATAATTTATAGGCATTATTTCATTTAATCCTCACAATAACTCCATTGTTCAGTTTTTACTCCCAATATGATAGATAAGGAGACTGGTATTCAGAAGGTCTGTGTAATTTGTCCCAAATTATACAGTTAATATATGACAGGACTTGGGTGTGAACCCTCCCCTGTCTGGATTTTCCAGACAGGGGAGGGTTCCTGAAAGCCATGTTCTCGTTCCATCTCTGATAGTTGCCGAAGGAATAATCTGAGCAAGAAACATTGCTGGGAAAGACTGAAGGCAGGAAGAGAAGGGGACGACAGAGGACGAGATGGTTGGATGGCATCCCTGACTCAATGGACATGAGTTTGAGCAAGCTCCGGGAGATGGTGAAGGACAGGGAAGCCTGGGGTGCTGCAGTCCGTGGGGTCACAAAGAGTCAGATACAACTGAGCAACTGAACAACAGCAAAGTCTCCTCAACCAGAAAATAATTAAAATTCTCACCTCGTGGGATTGATATGAAGGTTAAAGGAGACTAGGGATGTAGATATAGATATATAGGTATAGATATATGTCTATATATCTATATACATATGATGCACAGCAGAGAGCCAGGCATGTGCCAAGAGTTAAAGTTCATTTTCCCCTTCAATTTTTCCTTTTGTCCTTATGTCAGCCACTCTTCCAAAACTGTCTGAAAGATAACTCAGTTGGCTGGAGCTGAACCTAGTAGCAATTCCAGGTTCCAGGCCTTGGTTTTACCAACTGAAAAATAAGGAAAGACTGGACAGCTTTTTGTGAGGACAAAGTAACTTAAAGCAGGAGAGGTGAGCACAGTGCCTGGTATACATGCATATGTGCTAAGTCACTTCAGTCGTGTCTGACTCTTTGCAACCCTGTGGACTATAGCCTGCCAGGGCTCCTCTATCCTTGGGATTCTCCAGGCAAGAATACTGGAGTGGGTTGCCCTGCTCTCCTCCATGGGATCTTCCTGGCCCAGGGATTGAACCGATGTCTCTTATGTCTCCTGCATCAGTAGGTGAGTTCTTTACCACTAGTGCCGCCTGCAAAGCCCCATTTGGTATACAGTTGGTGCTAAATAAATATTTGTGAAAAGGAAGAAAGGAGGAAGGAGAGGACCAAGGAAGTGGTGCCCAGGTGCTTGGAAATGCCCTGTGCCCCCGTAGTTCTCGGGGCCACAGGCCCAGTCCTGCCCTGGCTCCACCCAGCATTGGGCAGGAATGTTCCAGGCGATGGTGAGTGTCCTGCAGACCTGCTCAGTGCCATCGATCAATATGCTTTATGATGGATCTAATTAAGCTTTCTAACGAGGGATCACAAGATGACAATTTATCCCAGAGCCATCACTCATTAAAATGCTATTTCAGGAGATGACATCGTTCCAGCCTTAATTGGCGGAGTTTGCGTGACTGGAATCCCTTGGGAGCAGAGATGCCCCTTGTCATTTTCTCATCACCTCCGGCGTAAGGGAGTCAGAGGGGCCCTGAGAGGCACAGGAGTTTATCAGGAGTTGTAACAGCTCAGGCCCCACCTTCCTTGCTCTGGTCGGCTCCCAGCAGCAGGTGAGCAGTCTCAGAGGGAAATGCAGGCAGCCTGTGGCTCGCAGAGGCCCACATTCAGAGTCAGAAGCTCCTTCACTATCTAGTCATGTAGGCTGAGGAAGCGACTGCTCCTGTCGTAGCCTCAGTTTCCCCATCTGTGAAGAAGCCATAGTGATATCTTGCCCCCACCACCCACCTCACAGAGTTTTTTGCACAATTAAAAGAAATCCTGGAGTGCTTTATAGAGTTGTGGAAAGAACATGAACTTGGAAGTGAAAGCCTCTAGTTCAACACTTTGTTCTATGGCCCACTAGCTGTGTGACTCTGGACAAGTTACCTAGTATCTCTGAAACCTGCTTTTTTCCCGTGCATAATGAATCAATAACAGTGGCTACTTCAACAGATTGGTGGGAAGATTGTAAGGCTTTTATATTCAGCCTGGTTCCTGAGGATACTGGGGACACAGAGCTGAAAAGTGATGACAGTTTTCTGAGAGATCCTGTCACACCTTCGTATCTGCAGAATAATATCTACACTAAAGACAAGTTATGAACCCAAAGAGGACCTGATTAAACTATGCTGGCTATATTCTAGAAGACATAGGAGAGGTGGTGGCATTTTAGCTAGACCTGGAAATAGGAGAGCTTTTTCAATTGAGAACAGAGGAAAGGACATCCCAGGAAGTGGGGTGGCAGGCATTCAGTTGGAGAAAGTTGCAGAGAGGAGTGTTTTGTGAGTGAATTAAGGAATGACATAGTGAGAGAGAGAAAGAAGGCTAGAAGACCACGAAGAGGGAAGGTTTT